TTTTGCCATTGTTCTCATCAGACAAGATACTTTCTCCCTTGCAATTTGGCACGACTGACATGACGAAGGTTTCAGCATCAGAACCTTGAAATAACGATGATGCTGTGCGCCCGCGAGTTTCTCCCTAATGGTTCAAAAGGATGTACAGGTTTATAATTAGGTATTGCTGTAAGGCTATATAGGTAGGACACCTGAAACTATATATGGGTCCCCGATCGAGGTGAACAAAATTGTCCGGTGCGTAAAACGAAGATACAGCAGTTTGAGGACCTATTCGATGCGCTTTAGAAACGACAATGTGAGGTGTCGGCAAAAGCGATTACATTCTTGCTTTTTGACGATGCGTCAATTTCTGAGCGTTGAATGCCTGAAGTCATGTTCAATATTGTATTAAGCCGCAAGAATCCTCCATCAAGTCCACCTTGGATATAAGTTTTACATTGGTCGAATAAAGGGGAGTTTGTCAATTAGCAGTCTGGGACAAGCATTAATAGGTCAAACGGTCGGAAAATATCGGCCCATAATGATTTGTAAACTGGTGGGGAAGGTACTTAATATCGGGCTGCGAACATAGTCACTTCAAATGATTAATTCTGTCATGCTGCAATCAAACCGACGGGACAAATAGAGATAATGCCAGTGCGATCAGTAATCACTGGTACCAAATAGTTTCAGGCATTCTAATTTAACCGGGTAATGTGATCAAACTAGTCATTATGGAACTGCATGTCAGCGTGAATTAATCCGTGCGAGTTGACGAGAGCAGTCTGGAAGAAAAGCAACCTGCATTAATCGGCCATACCGCCGGCCATTATCAGCCACCTGAGTTGACACAATCGAAAGGTTATTCATCCAGTGTGAACATAGCAGTGCATAGTGAGCACTCAATTTCAACTGTTCTCGACCAAATAGTGCTGCTACGGACTAAAAATATGGTACTATATTCTGTGCACTTGAATCGTCAACTAGCTGCTGCCTCGTCTCAGGCCGCGCAGGATGATGTGCAGCATTGAACAGTGGTGTTAAACTTTCGGCAGTATTACGAACTGTTCTCAGGTACTCAAACAAATAACCAACCGTGATGTTAGAAAAAAACTTTCTGTGTCCCCATTATAGTGCATTGTAACTTGGTGAATTTTATTTCGGAACAAGTGCAATGTAGTGGAGAGGGTGCGTGCTCAGCAGCTCAAACACACGCGTCATGGGGCGCGATCTGGTTGGAATATATTTGA